TGACCTCCTAGAGGTTCTGACCTCCTAGAGGTTCTGTCCTCCTAGAGGTTCTGTCCTCCTAGAGGTTCTGACCTCCTAGAGGTTCTGACCTCCTAGAGGTTCTGACCTCCTAGAAGCAGGAGGTTCTGCTTCAGAGAGAAGCTCCTCATCCTGTGTTTCTCCTCAGACTCTCTCCTCCTCTGAAGATGGCCGACTACGATCTGGTCCTGAAGCACTGGGCTCCGGTGGAGGCGGATTATAACGGCCACGGGAACCTGGTTCTGACCCGGTCAGTCAGCACTGGAAAAATCCAGATCTGGATAAGTCATTGTTTTCTTAAGATAAGTGATTTTGTTCTAGAATTGAGGCGATAAAAGAGACATTTTGCTGATGGAACAAGATAATTTAGGTTTAAAATAAGAAAAAACAAATTCTTGTCTTATTGTCTTATTTTAAATATTATCTAATTATCTTATTTTAAGAGTAAAATACTAATTCCATTGGCATCTTATTTACCCGCTCAAATTAAAGGTAAATGCTTTTAATTTAAGAAATGTTTCCTTATTTCTAGATTGTTTTGCAGTGAGAGAAGCTAATTTTAAAGGAACCTAAAAGCCGAACTTTAAACGCCGCCGGTCGCCCGTTAACCACATAAACATTTCTCCACAGTTTATTCCATGAGTACCCAGACACCCAGAAGCTGTTCCCAAAGTTTGCAGGCCTCGCCAAGGGGGACCTGGCGAGCAATGCGGCCGTTTCCGCCCACGGTGCCACAGTTCTGAAGAAGCTTGGTGAGCTGCTGAAGGCCAAAGGAAACCACGCCGCCATCCTCAAACCGCTGGCCAACAGCCACGCCACCAAGCATAAGATCCCCATCAATAACTTCAAGGTGAGGCTGCGTTTTTCCCAGAATGCCTCCTGAGGCTGCGTTTTTCCCAGAATGCCTCTTTCTTTCTTCCTGCCACTGACTCCATGTTTCCTCTCCAGCTGATCACCGAGGTCATCGCTAAGGTCATGGGGGAGAAGGCCGGCCTGGACGCCGCCGGCCAGCAGGCCCTGAAGAATGTGATGGCCGTCGTCATCGCCGACATGGACGCCACTTACAAAGAGCTGGGCTTTACTGGCTGAACGTAATCCGGCTTGGATTAGAAATAATCTGAAATTCTTCTGCTTCACGTTTTGACCCAAGATCTTGGTTCATTAGTTAATAAACAGCTGCTGATGTTAATCCAACCGTTTCCACGAAGCATCATAAGAGCTTCGCTTTCACTGTAACCGGCTGCTTGATGAAAAGTTTGACTCTTCTGTCAATCATTGTCTGATTCGACCAATAAAATCGCTCTGCTTCTCCTTACGGCTCATTATCTTCGAGTTTCCTCTCATCTCTGTGTTTCTGCCTTTTTTAATCCTAGAATATTTAACATAAAGTTATGCTAAACATGTGATAAATACAGGCTGAAGAAAAAGGTTTTAGAAAGGAGTTCAGATCTTCTAATATCTTAAACAGCCTATTTTATAAAAATTAAACATTTTTCATGTTTGCATTTTATCATCAATCAGTTTTATTCTGAGTGGACGGACTTTGGAGGCTCCAGCGACGAGCTTCCAGCTGGACGGAGAACAAAGAATTTCTATTTAAAGGTCTGATTAAAAACGCCTTCATGATGTTACTGAAGTTCAAGTAGCTTTAATTTCTTACTACTTTTATTTCTTATTATTTTTATTTCTTACTAAATGTTTCAATGTGGAAAATCGCTGCTGCCTCAAAGACAAAGTTTCCAGTTTTAAATGAGTTTGTGAATCGATGGATGATGGTCTGAATGTTAAAGCAGCGTTTAGGGAAAACATCTTTGGACGTTTAAATATTAGCTTTGGTTTAACTTTCCAGATCTAACTGGATGGTTGATGACAGCAGATCATCCGCTCTGTTTAATGTAGCTCTATAACGGTGGACCTTCAAAGAGCCATTTGGACCTGAAGAAAAGTCGGTCAGAGAAACACGGAACCTTCTGAGAAAAAGGATCAATACATAAAGGAACCAACATTTATATTTTCAGGTTTTAGAATAAAAGACCTGCACATCTTTAAAGAGGAAAATAGATTTTCTGGATGTTTATAAGTAATAAAATAAGGTAGAACTAAAGCACAAAGATTTTGTTTTATATGATTCACTTTATTACACCTAAAAAACCAAAGAGTTAAAGTTTGTAAAACTGTCCTTTGTTATTTGAGAGCAGTGAAAAGCAGGACGTTGAGTAATGAATGCGAGCAGCGCAGCAGAGCTCTGCTCTTTAAGCTCATTAGTCAATCATCAGTGGCAGCGCCGGACACTAAAGACATTCACAGGTTATCTCAGAGCCAAAAGTAGACGGCAGGAGTTCGACTGACTGCAGCTCAACGCAATAAATTCAATAAACATCTGAAAAACAAACTGATCTAAAGGTTTTAATAAATAATAGTGTCATTAGCGTGAAAACATGCAGCGTCACAAGTTCACCAGTGTCAGCTGGTTTCACGCTGCCAAGCTAAACTCAAAGGTAATTACAGGTCGTCTAATTTCAATAAAACACCTGGATGACATTTAAACAGCGAAAGGACGTTTTTATTTTAGCTCCAACGCTTCATTTCAGCAAAGAGCCATGAAGCTGCGGGACATTCATATCATGGACATTCCTCTGTCCCTCAGACATCCTGTTGTCCTTCCAGGTCCTCGCTTGGTGCCAAAACAGTGTTTGGTTAACTGGTCTGACGGATAATTGCCTTGATGATAACCTTTTAATAGTGCGCGTGTGTTTGTGAATGCAGTGCAGACGTGACACGAAGCACGAACCCTGTGGGGAGACACGCCTCTCCTCCTCTGGAGCCCGAGCTGAGGACCCGGGTGAGGACAGCCGCCATCATAAGCAGCTGGAGCTTCTTGGTGTTTAAAGAGCTGATTGGACGATGCTGCGTTTCCACATGTAATTTAAGGAATCAGCGTTCCAGGAAATGATTGCAATCACTGCTGATTCTAAGATCCTCTGAGAGTTTAAAGAGACGCTTCAGCTGCTTAGAAGACAGCATGATGTGCAAAAGCAGGAGTTACTCCTCATTCTGTTGAAAATGTTGACTAGACGCTTTTTCAAGCCAGCGGAGGTTGGCGTAGATGTAAAGCACATAGATGCGTTGGTAAAGTGTGTTTTTCACAAAACTGTCATGATGCCAAAAAAGTATTGAGCAGCAATAAACAGGAGCTAAATGTTTCCATATCAAACAGCAGCTGCAGAGACAGGAAACCGTCTGATAAGTGGAAACGACTTGATGGCTCCGAGTTCCACTTCATCCGGACTCTCAGGTCAACTAATGGGCGGGAAATAGATTTCTGTCATGTTTTCAGCGATTATGATTGTTTATGTGCAGGATTATCAGCATCTGGAGTCAAATATTCACTATTTAGAGAGTTAATTTAACAGTAATTCAGAGTGGGACCAAATACACTCTAATTGGTGTTAAAATTAAAGTGTTACTTTAATTTACTCTGCAGATTTTTAAAAAAAATATCTGTAAAATCTATCTTTTATTTTCTCTGGATAAATACTTTGCTACAACTCTTTTTATTTTATTAGAAAAACTTGAAAATGTAATTTATTTTTAGATTTCAGTCCAAATCTCCTTTATTTATTCTGGCCTCTTTTTTCAATAATTACTCCTTTAAAGCATCATGACTCTAACTGCATTATCAGCAATACTTTAATAAGAGGGAAATTACTTTTGCTCCAGATACAGTTTTATATAATATATACACAACAAACCACACAAGATTATAAAGATATAATAAATATATACACATATAACTCTTTAGCTTTATGGAAACCCAGAGGCTGAGAAAAGATTTATAGATAAATAAACTGAATTCTGATTAATATTTAACATTTTATCAATTCCACACTTTAGAATTACAAATTATTTTATTGGTCTGTTATATTTTAACTGTGTTTTCCTTCCTTATGTGAAAAAATAATCCGAATAGAAAGAAAAAAAGCATAAAAAACATGCCTGTTTGTAATTCTATTCCGTTTATTTCTAGAGCTCCAAATCACATCATGTCACTTTATAGATCCAGATCAACCAGATCATCC